CGTCGTCGTAATCCCAGCAATTACCCCATTAGCAAAAGCAGCAAAAGTATTAGTAGTAGTAGTAGTCGTGGCAGTCTTCGTAATCGTGGTCGTAGTAGTAGTAGTAGTAGTACTACTACTACGACTACTACTGCTGGAAGGAATAGTCGTCGTCGTCGCACTCTTCGTAGCCGAAATAATAGTCGTAGAAGCAGTAGCAGCAGTAGTAGTAGTAGTAGTAGTAGTAGTAGCAGTAGCAGTAGTAGTAGTAGTAGTAGTAGTAGTAGTAGTAGTAGTAGTAGTGGCAGTAGTAGTAGTAGTAGTAGTAGTAGTAAGAAAAATAGTAGTAGTAGCAGTAGTAGTAGTAGTAGTAGTAGTAGTGATAGTAAGAGTAAGAGTAATGAGTAGCAGTAGTAGACGGCATCGCAATTGTAGTAATAGTGGTCGTCGTAGTCGGCGTAGTAGTAGTAGTAGTAGTAGTAGTAGTAGTAGTAGTAGTAGTAGTATGAGTGGTAGGAATGGCAAAAGTAGTGGTCGTAGGAACAATGATAGTAGTAGTAGTAGTAGTAGTAGTAGTAGTAGTAGTAATGAGAAGAAGAAGAGTAGTAGTAGTAGTAGTAGTAGTAGTAGTCGTAGTAGTAGTAGTAGTAGTAGTAGTAGTAAGAATAGTAGTAGCAGTAGTGCTCGTAGACATAGCAGTAGTAGAAATCGTAGTAGTAGTAGTAGTAGTAGTAGTAGTATAGTAATAGTAGTAGTAGTAATAGAAAAAGCTAAAAAGAAGTAGTAGTAGCAGTAGCAATAGTAGTAGTACTAGTAGTAATGGAAGTAAGAGTAGTACTGGTCGTCGTAGTCGTAGTAGTAGTAGTAGTAATAATACGAGACGTATGTCAGTGTAGCCGTAGTGATAATACTAATGGTACGCGTAGTGATGGCAGTAGTCGTACTAGAAGTAGTAGGTAGTAGTAGATCGTACAAGCAGTACTAGTAGCAGTAATAATGAGAGTAGAAGAAGCAATCGTAGTAGTAGTCGTCGTCGTCGTGGAGGTCTTCGCGCGATGGAAAAATAAATAAAGCACTAGTAGCAGCAATGATGCTAACACGAATTCCGGTAATCGTAGTCGTACTCGTGGTAGTAGTGCTAGTAGATGTAGCAGTAGTTCTAGTAGTACTACTACTACGAAGACTACTTCTATTTCTACTATTATTACTACTACTACTACTACTAGTACTACTACTACTACTAATCCTACGACGCCGACTACTACTACCACTACTAGCACTACGACTGCTCCGACGACGGCTACTACTACTGCCCGTAAACGTAATCGTAAGAAGCCGTGAACTGAATGATCGTAGTACCAACACTCGTAGTAGCAGCAGTAGTAGTAGCAATAAGACAGATCGTTGCGACAGAAGCTGGAATAATCGTAATAATACAGTGGTCGTTTCAGTAATAATAACAATAATATTGCAGCAACAACAGTTTGTGTAGTGGTTGTGATATTAATTGTCGCAATCGTAACTTAGATTCTAGCGACAGCCGCAGTCGCAATCGCAGTCGTGGTAGGAATCGTAGCATCAGTCGTAGTCGTAGCCGTATTAGTTGTAACACTGATATTCAAGGTGGTTGTTTTAAAATTAGTGGCAGTAGTAATATTAGTCATAATAACACGAGTATTCATATAAGTAGTAGCCGTGGCAGTAGTAGTAGTAGTAGTAGTAGTAGTATGAGAAAAAGTGGTAGTAGTAGCTGTAGTAATAGTAGTAGTGGTAATAGTGATAAGTTTTATTGCCGCGGCAGCAGCAATAGCTGTGGTACGAATCGTAATCCAAATCGTAGTAACAACGGTAGTACTTGTAGTAGCATTAGTAATCGTAGTCGTAGTAGTCGTAGTAGTGGTCGCCGGAGTGGTAGTAGCAGTAATAGTAACAGTCGTAGTAGCAGCGGTAGTAATAGTAGTAGTAGTAGTAGTAGTAGTAGTAGTAGTAGTAGTAGTGGTAGTAGTCGCAGTGGTAGTAGTAGTAGTAGTAGTAGTAGTAGTAGTAGTAGTGGTAGTAGTAGTAGTAGCAGTAGTAGTAGTAGTAGTAGTAGTAGTAGTAGTAGTAGTAGTGGTAGTCGTAGGAGTGGTAGTACGGGGTAGTAGTAGTAGTAGTAGTAGTAGTAGTAGTAATAGTAGTAGTAGTACTACTACTACTAATAGTAGTAGTTAATTGTAGAAGTAGTTGTCGTCGTCGTAGTAGCAGTAGTCGCGGCAATAATAAAAGTAGTGATAGTTGTCGTAGCAGCAGTAATAATAATAGTCACAGTAGTCGCCGTAGTAGTGGTAGTATTGGAAGTAGTTATACTGGTGGTAGTAGTAGTTGTTGTAGCAGTAGTTGTAGAAGCAGTGGCAGCAATAATACTAGTAATAGTAGCCGTAGTAGTAATAGTAGTAGTAGTAGTAGTAGTAGTAGTAGTAGCAATCATAATAGTAGTAGTCGTAGTAGTAGTAGTCGTAGTCGTAGTAGTAGTAAGCGTAATAGTAGTCGTAACCGTAGTAGTAGTAGTAGTAGTAGTAGTAGTAGTAGTCGTAATAGTAGTCGTAGTCGTAGTCGTAGTAGTGGTAGTAGTAGTAGTAGTAGTAGTACTAGTAGTAGTAGTGGTAGTAGTAGTACTAGTAATAGTAGTAGTAGTAGTAGTAGTAGTAGTAGTAGTAGTCGTAATAGTAGTAGTAGTAGTAGTAGTAGTAGTAGTAGTAGTAGTAGTAGTCGCAGTAGTAGTCGTAGTCGTAGTAAGAGTAATCGAAATGATCGTAGTAACCACGTCGCCAGGCAACTCCCCAGCTACGAAAGAGACATGTTCGTCGCCCATGTACTTGATGGCCTCAATCATGATCCCGTCTTCCCCTAGGACTCGGGCAATGTATACAAAGACTGTTCCAAAAGAAACCATTGAACGTCGTCGCGATCCGACTCCTGATCCTCGCGTCCGTCATCCTCCCAATGATGCCCGACAAGATGCGATGAGGGACTCGTGCCATGGATACAATGGCCGCCTTTGCCAGAAGGTAATGGTTGTTCAAGCTTCCGAAATTTTTCACACACCAAATCAAAATCGTATGATCCCTCTGCCCAGTTCTCAACCGCATCCCAAGCAGCGTTGGTGAGCCTGGATTATCTAAGAACCACGTACCATGTCAAGTCCTCTGGCAGGGGCATATGCTTCTCGAGTTTACCCAAAACACGCGCTCACGCACAGTATAGTTGACGGGAGTTTCATCTCGCTTACGCTTGGTGTCGTCTGAACAGACAAGCTGCTCACAAGCCTTCGGCATCCTGCGGTCTTGGCATTCGGCAACAGCCTTCTTGATATGTTTACCCACAACCTGCCCACCGCCCTCCGAAGACAACTGGTCTTCGGTGAGTTCGTTAATGATGATCTTGAAGTCGTCTGTGGAATAGCGAAAGATGAGGTATCCGCGTTGTGTTTTCAGACTTCTGGTAGTAGCGAGCCACATCTGCAGTTCCTTCATGCAAGGGTCTAGACGAGTATCCGGATCTGTTCCATCCCAGGTGGGAGGTAGGTCGTTCGGTATCTTTGGGCCCGTTGGCGATCAGAAGGTCTGGCATTGGTATCTCCCCAATAGGTCGGGGCAAGAGGGGTAACAAGCATAGCCTGTCCTCGCAGGCGTGTTCTGCCGATCTGGTGCAGCCGGCGGACCACGTCCCCGCGCAGTCCAACCTGATGAGGATAGCTGAATATTGGGCCGCGTCTCCGCCCAGGAGTGCGACAACCAACGGGCCCAATCCTGATCTGACCAGCCCGCATCGCCATCGCCTTCCCAAGGAACGTCTTCTCGTCCTCCAGCTCCTGACTAGGAATCCTTATCTGGTTGTAACCAAGGGTTTGCTGGAAGTTCACCTTCTTGAGCCATAGAGTCGTCTTGAGAATCCATGGCGGCGCTCGGTGCAATAGGGTAGGGAGCGGGAAAACCGGGATAAGAGTCAAGAGTATGTCGCCCGAAAATCGAATGACAGGGGAGTCGTCCTGACCCCCCTCGTGGATCTCAACCACAGCCTCCGCTGCCACTGTGGATTGTACGGGAGTGACTGTATGGGTACAGGGAGACACGAAGTACACATGGAGGGACCCGCGTTAGAAGAGATCACGTTCTCTTTCGTTTTACGGAGGCGTGGGCGCGTCCGTCATCGGCGCGCCATGATTGTTCAAGGGCCCTTGTGAGCCGATATGGCGGCGCACAAGGAAGTACATAGAGAGGCGCAGGAGGCGGAGAGGGTGACAGGAGCCCGACAACCACAACCCCTTCCCCTTCCCCCGACCCGGACGGGGGGGGAGGCGGGTAGTTCGACCGTCCAAGATCGCTTCGACGAGAATGTCACAATCATGAATTTGGTTTAAACTGTTGGCCTATTTGGGCCTCCAGGGGGGAACCCTTATTGGCAGCCCATTTCCCCACGTGGGCTTGCCAGAAGGGTTTCTAACTTGTTGCTGAACTGGTGGGTGCCAGGCTTGCGTTGGCAGGTCTCCCTCGATGCTGCTCATTCCTGTTTCCGTACGGTTTTTGGAGGGGCCTCCCTCGGGTTGTTTTGTCTTTCTTCCCTGGTGTTTTTGAAAAGACCCTGCTAGGGCTGCTTGGCCCTACTTGCTTACTGCTTTGAACTAGGTACTCATCGGGTTGTTCACTCTTGCTTCTTGATTGATTTTGGAAAGACCTCCCTCGGGTGGCCTAATCTTGTTTCCTTGCATCGGGCTGCTAGACTTCAAATTTTTAGCAGCGCCAAGGGCCACCAAACAATACCAAGCAATGTCAAGCAACGCCAACCAACGCCAAGCAACGCCAACCAATACCAAGCAACGCAAAGCAACGCAACGCAACGCCACATAATCCTAGGCAATGGCAAACAATGCCAAGCAACACCAAGTAATGCCAAGCAAGGCCAAGCACTGCTAAGCAATGTCATGCAACGTCAAGCAATGCCAAGCAACGCCAAGTAATGCAAAATCGTGTAAATCAACGTAATGCCAAGCAATGCAACTCAAGAGTCGTTTCCCAATTTGGGTCGCGTTGGTGGCATGTTTTGTCTGGGCGGGAACTTCATCAGCAAAGCAGGGCAACTCCTGTCGAAGAAAGAAGGCAGGTCTGCACTGGAGACGAAAGCTGACAAGCAACTTGCGGGCTTCAAAGTTGTCGCCAATGCAACTGGCACGCACACATGCCAACGGCAAGCCGAATGGTAGAATGTATTTGTGCAACGACCGACACCCGAAGGCCTCGGATCCTGAAAGGCAGAGGGGATGAAAATTCGTCGCCCTGGCGGAGCAGGGGTCCAAAGAGAAACGGGCCCTAGGCCCAGGGGCTTCCCCAGCGTGCGCGCCGTCGCGCGCGAGCGGGCCGTCAATTTCGGGCCTCGCGGGGTTAGCCTTGCGAGTCCCAGAAGAAAATTTGGATCGCGATCCAATTGCTCGGGGCCGGCTTGTGCCTTGGAGTGATCCAGGCCCAGACGTGTAATCTCGTCCCTTCTCTCATTGCCTCTCTCTCTCTCTCTGTACCTGCATCCTCTCCTTTTTGTTGTCTCCTGTCCCCACCACGAACATCGTATCGCGATCAAATGTCTCTGGGTCAGCCTCTGGCCTTGGGCTGCTCCCGGCCCCACAGGAACTCGTCCTCTCTTATCTCGTCTTTGTTTTCCCAATCCCCCTTTGCCGTCTCCTGTCCCCTCTCCTCTTCGAGCCATTGACAAATTCCTCACAACTTGTTGTTTCTAAGCCAGTCTCTAGGCTAGTCCAGACCAAGGTCAGACTCTGTCCCTATATGTCTTCTCTTGTCATATGTCCCTCCTCATCTGTCTCCTTTTCTCTTTCCTCTTCTCCATCCTCTTCTGTCTCCTCTGCTCTTTCATCGTCTGCCTCCTCTTGCCGGTCCTCGTATGTATCCCCTTTTCTATCCTCATCGGTAACTATAGTTTGCTCTGTCCTCTGACGTATACTTACCTTAGATACACATGCTTCGTACATCGTCGTATTGCGTCTCTTCGTTCGTGAACTGTACGCTGTGTTGTCTCGTCGGTCTCTTCTTCTCTACCGTCGGACCGTTCCTTACATAGCAGCTGACTCCTCTCATTCGGCCGATCACACAAACACACACATAGACTAGAACAATCGCGCGAGCTTCGCGTGCGCTCAAGTTCTAGCTAGGCTTGATGGGTTAACTCATGAAATATCATGGTTGTCGCTTCTTGCATCCAAGGACTTTTGGAAGCCCTACGCAAACCTCGGAATTGCAAAGAAGGGGAAGTGCGGAAACGCAGAAATCATTACTTCCCTTTTTAGGTATTCAACGAATTGGGGCCTTCAAAAGCTTCTTGGGTTCTTTTCGGGGAGGTGAAAGGGGGGCCGTACTTGTGGTCTGTTGTGCAAGAGTAGGCAAGGTGCGAACTTGAAAAAACAGATTTGTGCGATTTTTGTTTGTTTCAAATTGCCGTGCCTGGGCGCCTGTTGGGATGCCTCTCGGGGTCTTCGTGCACAAATAAGCAGGGGGTGAGTTTGAACAGAAGGAGTTGTAACGCTTATTTTTCCACTCATGGGATCATGGGATCTCGATTTCTCTACGGTGGTTTCAGGGGTAGCCAAGATGACACGAAGCCGACACAAGAGAGTGCATAGACAGCGTCAGAGAGTTCAACAACAATCCCGAAATATCGTTGCATGTGGCACGGGGGGTCTTCATGGGGCTCGGGATGAACTCGAACAGAGAGAGAACGACTTGCAGTACGCAGGAATCGGGGGAGGCCTAAGGGGCGTGCAGGGTGCTCTTGGGAGGCAGTTCGGACACCCCTGGGGGGCTGCTTGGGGGCCTCGTGGGGCCACTTTTGGGCCTCTAGCGTTGGAAGTGCGAAAGCACGAGACCAGAAACCTATAAAATAATCAAAACCAGCGATGTTGGTGTCTTCGGGGCGGCGGCCTTTCCCCGACTTCGAGTGAACGAATATGGCTGGCGGGTCGGATTGGGTTGTTTTTGCAGACTCGTCGGGTTTTATGGGGGGCCTCTCAGGGGTCTGGGTTGTGTCGTGGGCCTCTGGGGCGCCTCTTCGGCAGTCTTGGGGCCTTCTTGGCCTGTCTTGGGACCGTCTTGGGGGCCTCTTGGGCGGTCTTGGGGGCCTCTTCGGCCGTCTTGGAGCGTTGAAATGGTGAGAAGGCCAAGAACCTCGAACAAACCAATGAACATTGACAATTTTAGGTTCTCTGGGCGCTCTCGGGAGGCGCGGCCCTTTTCATCTGTGTTGGGGCTGTCTTGGGGCCATCCGGAGGCCATCTTGGGCGCGTTCGAACGATCTGTCCGCGTTTCGGGGTCTCTTGGAGGCCTCTTGCGGCCCTTTTCATCTGTGTTGGGACTGTCTTGGCTCGATTGGGGGCGGCCCTGGGCCGTCTCGGCGCCCTCGTGGAAGCCTATTTGGAATCTCCACTGCCACGACGGGTGCCGTCGACTCTCTCCTCTTCTCTCCTCTCTTCTCCCGCACCCTCCGGAGAACCATCAGAGTCCTTTAGCCACCTAGCGAGACGAGTTCACCCCGCCAGAAACGGCGGCAGGGCGTCGCCTTGGCACCCGGTCTTCGCCGCGGGCTTGCAACCGACAACGAAGGTGATGCGGTCGTTGAACCGCACGGTCTCCTGCAGGCCGAGGTCCCTGAGGCCCGCGTCGATGTCATCCGCGCTCAGCTCGTGCAGGAAAGACCAAAACTGCGCGCGGACCAGCCGCTCCCACTCGGCCCTGGGCATGGAGACGGGGTACGGCCGCTCCTCCACCGTTGCCGTCAGGCCCGCGTCTGCAAGCGCCTGAACGTGCTCGGGCAGCTTGACCAAGTTCCCCGCTGCCCACTTATCATGCCCAGGAAACGGGTAGCCCTCGGCGTCGTCGGGCCGGGTGACCAGTACCACCTTGCCGCCGGGTGGCAGCCTCCTCGCGAGGTTGCTGTACAAGAGGAGCGGGTCTTCGATGTGGTGCCGCACCTCCTTGAGCAGCATGAAGTCGAACGGCCTCTCCCCGGCGGAGACCGACCAGGCGATGGCGTCGGTCACTTCAACCTCGAGCCCTCGCTCGGACGCCTTGGCGGCCATCTCAGCGGAGGGCTCCACCCCCACCACGGGCACGCCGGCCTGCTCCGCCAGCGCCGCCGAGAAGGCGCCCGTGCCGCAGCCGATGTCCACCAGGGCAGAGCAGGGCGTCGGCAGCAAGCTCGACACCTGCTCCAGCATCCACTTCTGAAAGTCCCCGTCCTCCTTGTAGCACCACGCCTGGGAGAGGCTCCATGTACACACCACGCCCTGTGGTTGGCCAAGGAGCGCGGTGCACAGACGCCCCAGCTGCCCCACCTTTGGGACGCTGGAGCTCCTTGAGCTCCATGGCCGACCCAGCGACGTGGCGTGCACACCGATTTGGACGCCCGAAATGAGTACCTAAAGAATGGGTACAATGCCCAACTGCAGTTCCTGTTCATTCTGAACAGGACTCGCTGCCCACGCCGCCGCGGCCTGTGCCCACTCGAGACGGGAGGCCGCCTGCCCGACAGCGGCCGCTGTTGGTCTGGGACACCATTTCTTGTTGGGCATTGTACCCATTCCTTCCGTACCCATTTCCAGGGGGCAAACAAACCTACCTCGCTTTTGACCACCCTCGCTTCCAAGAGATACCAAGCGATGCCAAACTGCGGCCTGTACTGGTCAGGCCGCTTGACGAGGAGGCGCGTGGTATGGCTAGGTTCTGCCTGGAAGCGAAAGCGGGGTAGGTAACTCACGCTCTGAATTTCGGGCGTCCCAAACCGAGACCTTACCAGCCTGGAACATATCCCTATCCCTATGCTGGGCATCTCCTCATCACGATGCCAATCTCAGGGATTCCCCTCCTTTTTGAGGGCGAAGCCCTGAGATTGTCATCGCCTTCTGGCGCGTCAATCTCGGGGGCAGGGACAAGCTCGAGGCTGGCAGAGACCCTCCGACGCGCCGTCTCGTACACGGCGACCACGGCGGCGTAGTGCGACTCCGCCGCCATCGGCGCCGGCCGCCGGCCTCCGCCCGCGCCGAGCCCCCCCCCGGCGGGCGGCGGGGCCGCGGCCACGGGCCCGCGGAGGCGCGCCCGGCAGGCGAGGCGCGCCCGGCAGGCGCGGCTGCGCATGGGGCGGCCGCGCCCTCGGCGGGCGCGGCGCTCGGCCCGCAGGGTGGTTTTCCGCGCCAGGGCCCTGGAGAGGGGGGGGGGGGGGGGGGGGGGAGGGGAGGGGGAGGGGAGGGGGAGGGGAAGACTCTGGAGGGGGGAGAGGGGGGGGAGGGGGAGGGGAGGGGGAGGGGAAGACTCTGGAAGGGGGAGAGGGGGGGGGGAGGGGATGGGGAGGGGAGGGGGGAGGGGAAGACTCTGGAGGGGGGGGGGGAGGGAGGGGGGGGGGAAAAGGCGCGCGAGCCGCCGCCTGATACTTCAGCCTCCGGCCGCCGAGCGCACGCAGCCTCCCCCCCCCCCCCGGCCAGCCGGGCCCGATGCAGAGACCCTGGGCTCGGGCAGCGAGGCAGTTGCATGTGTCACGAAGTGGGGACATGCACGATACAGTCGGGGCGTTGACCCAAGGAACCCTAAATAAGGAACGAGGCCCCTGTTTCCCATAAGTTAAACTTCGACTTCCGATCGAATACATAAGGAAAACCTGAGGCAGACTGTGAAACACTCAAAGAACGCGGAGCCCCTCCCCAACCAAAAGGGTTCCTTCCTCAGGGCCCCGACTGTGGACGAGGGGGCCTCGCTGGAGCCCCTGCGCGGTTGGAGGCGAATCGCGTCGACGTGCTGCAGGAGCTGATGGTGCTTGAAAGATGCCGACGCGCGCGCGCGCGGGGGGATCCGCGCGTGTGGCCCGCAGGGTATCATTTCACAGGGACGGCGGGGAAAAGTCGAATCCCACCGGCTCTTTAGGGCGTAGGTGGACAAGCGTCATTTCTCTTCCAGCCCCCTTCTTCTCCCGCCGGGAGCCATGATACTCGAGTGAACGGGGCACCAGGCGGAGACACAGCGCTGACGAGATAGACGAGTGAGAGGCCGAGACACAGCGCGGACGAGATAGACGAGCAGACGGACAGAGGAGCGAGAGAACAAGCACAAGGCAGGTGCAAGGAGTGCATGCTGGTCTGCCGTGCTCCTGCTTCCCTGGTCTGCCGTGCTTGTCTGTCGGGTTGGTCTACGTACACGGTGCAGCCGCACGACTGCAGCAGCACAGCAGACCAGCACGGCAGACGCGTAGGGACCACGCCAGACCAGCTCGCCGCACTAGCGCGGCAGACCAGCACCGCATGAAAGCACGGCAGCCCAGCACGGCAGACCAGCACACGAGCAGCACGGCGTCCGTAGCCATTCTGGCTCGAGCGCCAACTCGGCTCTGGCCGCCGCCTGGCGCGAAGGCTTGCGAGTCCGCGCTGGGCGGCCCGCGGCGGCCGCCCCCCCGCGGGCCTCCTCCCTCCCTCCGCGGCTTCGCCCCTCCGCGGCGCGGGATGGCGGCCCAGCCCGGGCTCGCCGCCGGCGCGCCAGCGCGCCCACGGCGCTCGGCGGCCGAGCGCCGGGCTCGGGCCATGAGGGCGCAGGCGCGGGCAGCCCAGTCTCAACGGGCGAAGAACGGTAGGAAAGAAACTTCTTCCCCGTCGGGGACACCTCCCCGTTTATTATATACCGCTCTCCGCTCGCTGACAGCCGCTGCTCCCCGCCGCCGGCGCCCTGGAGCACCCGGGGGTGCCGGCCTACGCTTGCAGGCGCGGCGCTGGCGGAGGCGCTGGGGCGAGGCAGGGGCTCGGGCTCCTCGGGCGGCCGCGGCCCCGCCGCCCGGGGGCAGACCGAGGCGCTCCTCGTGTCGGTGCGGCTGGCGCTGGGGGCCCTGGCGCGAGGGCCGCTGCGGCGGCTGGTGGCGCGCCCGCGGGCGGCTGGGCGGAGGTCCAGCACTCGACGCCCATGGAGGAGGATCCGGCGCCGCCACGCGTCTCGGCTTCTCCAGCGTCTTCGAGGGGGACGGCAGCTGCGAAGGCCCGCGAGCGCGACGTGGCACGGTCTCCGGCCCCCGTGCCCTCGGGAGTCTGCACTCCCCGCGGCGCGGGACCAGAGCGGGCCGCGGGCTCTGTCAGAGGCGGTGAGCAGGTTCCCGCCGCCTCGTTGTCGAGACCAGCCGAGGGAGGTGTTCGCACGCGGCATGCTTTCTTCGACCTCGTGCAGGTGTTCCATTGGCAGGCCAGCGCGCCCTTGCGCCTCAGCGACGCCTCATTCGGGCTCCTGCGGGCCATGGGCACTGTCGAGGCCGTCCACGCGGTCACGCAGCTGTTCGTGTTCCATAAGCAGGGCTCGGCCGCAGACCTTTGGATAAATAATGACGCCACTTACAAGGAGTTGCTTCGAGGCCGTTGAAGCGCGTTGCTTGTCCTCTCGTGTATGCTCTAGCCAGGCATCCTGTCCCTGTCAGTGTGCACGTTTGCGGCTCGCCTGATTTTGATTTCCCGTTGAGTTCAACTCGGGTCCGAGGGGTCTTCGAGGAGCTGTTCGGAAGGGGGGGGGGCTCGGCGTGGAGCGTGTGGGGCCCAAGTCGCGCGCTCGGCTGGCCCGCCTCCGCCGTCCCCTGGCCGCGGTGGTTTCCCCGTGTGTAGTGGTGGGTACTCCCTTGAGCCTTTAAGGCTCCGACTTTCGCTTTCGCTTTCGTGAGCAGCACGGCAGACCAGACCGACAGACGAGTAGGGGCAGGGCAGACCAGCATGGCAGCCCAGCACGGCGTATCAGTGCGACAGACCAGCACGGCAGGCAGACCAGAGCAGCAGCATGAGGACTCCTGTGAGACCTTTTGGGATGGTGTTCGGGTGTCTGTTGGCGCTCTGCGCCTCCTGGCGCCCTCTCCGAGGGCTCCTCCTCCCCCCCCGGGGACTCCAAGAGGCGCCAGGAGGGTCGGGACTCCAAGGGGCGCCCGAGGCGCCAGGAGGATCCTGGGGCTCCTGGCGCCCTCCTCCCAGTTGAAGCTCTCTCTGCGCCTCCTGGCGCCCTCCGAGCCCTCCCGGGGCCGTCCTGGGCCCCACTGGGCGCCAGCAGCGGCTGGACCGCCTTGGCCTCGCTCGCAGCGTGGGGGCGGTCCTGAGGCCCCCTTCGGGCCCTCGTAGTCCCGCCGCGGTAGCGTGCTGGGTGACTCGGGGGCTGTCGTGGGCTCGTCCAGAGCCCCTCCTGAGACCCTCTTGGGCATTCTTGGAGCAGCCTGGCGGCCTCAGGAGCCCATCGAGAGTGAAAAAGCGAGGAAGCCGAACATCACTGAAAAGCCAACTGGCTGTTCTTGATCTTGACCTCTCCAGGGCTGCCCGGAGGGGCACCGTTCCCACCTCGGCCCGTCTCGTAGCCCCTGGGCTGCCTCAACTCGGCAGCGCCGATGTCCTTCCTACGTGACCACCTGGACGGATGTTGCGGGGAGCTTTTAATACACAGGATTCTTAAGCATACATGGTTTTTAAAACATGATTAATGTATGAATACATGTATGCATGAACTCATCGTTGTTTTAATTACTAAATCTCTGCACTTTGAATACATGATCCGCACGCGGAGCATGTAGGTATTAAAAACGGCACTGTACCTTCACCTTGCCCGCCATCTGGGCGGTCTTGACGCCCATCTTCGGCCTCACAGGCGCTTGGAGACCGGGCACTACGATGCCGTGCCCGGTTGCTGATTGGATGGGTTCACCCGCCCAAATCAGGGGAAGACCCTCCGCCTGGGCCTGGCGGAAGGGTGCGGCACCAGCGGTCGGAGCGCCAAGGATGCTCCAAGATGGCCCGGAGAGCTCAAAATGGCCTCCAAGATGGCCTATGATCTTCCCAGATGGCTCAAGATTTTTGTTCCCCCAGATGGCTCAAGATTGCCTCCGCGATGCCTCCAAGAGGAAGTGGCCTCCCAGGGATGCTCCCGGAGAGGTCCAGGGATGCTCCCGAGAGGTCCGAGCCCTGCCAAAAAACCCTAGGAAGCCAAATGATTTGTGCATTGTCGCCCGTTGCTTCTGATGGGCTTCCGGGGCCTGAAGATGGCTCCAAGAGTCCCAAGAACGCCCCAAGAGCGCCCCAAGAGCGCCCCAGGAGCGCCCCAGGAGGCGACTATTGGGGCTCAAGAGGGCACGGCGTAACTGAGGACCCCCCCTTCGCTCAGCGGCAAAATGTTGGAACATCGTTGTTCAAAGATTCCTGCATACGGGGAGCATCCTTGAGGTACTTATGAACTCCGAAGGAGGCCCCCAAGATGCCCAAATCATGTCGAAACCGGTGAGAAATCGATGTGTGCTGCCTCCCGTGCCTTTTCGCTTCTGGACTCTTGAGGCCTGAAGATGGCTCAAAGAAGGTCCATGCTCCTGGGGCCCAAGAGGACCCCGAGACGGCACCAAGAGCGTCAAGGAGCGCCCCAAGGATGCCACAAGAAGGCCCCAAGGCTTCTGGAGCTCCAGATGGGGCAAGGTGAATTCAGGAACCCCTCCTTTGATCGATGCCTTCCAAGATTGCCCCGAGAGGGCCCGCAGGGTCCGCAAGAGAGCAGTGGATTCCTCAGGATGTCCCAAAAACATCGCCAGATGTTCGTAATGACCCCGACGAGCTCCCGAAGATCTCAGGGGACCCTTAAGCGTTTCCTGGAAGGACTACTGCGGGCTCCTCAAACCTCCCTGCGGACGATACAGGTTCCAGAGCTCCGCGCCGTCTAGACAGGACGAGTGGCCGATCGCTCCGCTCGGCGGCTGGGTCGGCGCGCGGGGGGGGGAAGAGCTGCCTCGCGCGCGCGCGCGGCGCTCTTTGAAATGGTCGCCGCGGGAGCTCGGGATCTGACGACCTACCAGACCACCCCAACCCAACCCGAAGACCCGAATCTCGGGTTGGGGGGGGAGGGGGTATGGGCTGCACGTGTGTTCTTGTCGATGCTCCCGGACCCTCCCCCCCACACCAGAAATCGAGGGCAAATCTGAGCCTTCGGGTTGGGCTGCTCCTCCTCGTCGTCCTCCTCCTCCTCCTCCTCCTCCTCCTCCTCCTCCTCCTCCTCCTCCTCCTCCTCCCCCTCCCCCTCGGGTGGCTTGGTGGGTGGTGGGGATCTGGGGCCGGGGGCTCGTGGGGCGGGGCTCGGACTGCTGGGATTCGGGCTCGTGGCTCGGGCGCGGC